CCAAGGAACATTTCTTGGTCTTAAGTTTTCTTATCTGTAAAAAGCAAATAATAAAAAACATCCTAATGAAATTAATAAAATAAATAAATAACATAACATCAGGAAAGTTACTATGAGAATTAAATAAGGTAATATGGAAGTACCTAACACATAAGTTTTTCTCATGACTATAATCAGAAACATCCAGGCTAGAATCTCAGCTCTTACGGTTTTCAGCTACGTGATCCTGGCCAAATTACTCTGCCTCTCTCGCCTGATTCCTCTTATGTTAAGTAAAAATAAGTAATAATTTCCTCATGGGGTAGTTGGATTAAATTAAACAGTATATACATCACAGGCACTCAACAGCTAGTTCCCCTCTACCGAGAATTCCTGATTGCCCCAGGAAATCTCCAGCTTTTGCTGTGACACCTCAAGGAGTTTCCAGTTTGCCCGAAGTAAACTTTTAAAAATCAAAATTATAATTTCATCACTTTTTCTATTAAAATATAGGTTCTTTGAAAAACTGGCATGAAGGAGGAATCTAATCAGAAAGTCAAAATGATTAGACCCCGTAACTCCCCAACACTGAGCCCTAAAATGCTTCAGAGTCTGAAAGGGGTACCAGCTGGAAAGTACCTTGGCAAGAAGGGGAGGCTTTGGAGATACCCGGGCCCAACTGTCACAGGCTCTGCCCCATACTTCCTGTGGGGTTGGGGCAATCACTTCTCTTCTGTGGAATTCTTCCCACATCTGTAAACTGAGGATAGCAGCACCCACTTGGAAGGTTGTAAGGATCAAAAATAATATATGTGAGGTATCCAGAATAACGCTTCCCACACAGTCAACAGGCAACACATGACACTCATATCAGATGGGGAAAACTTAACGGTGATGATAAGGACAACCAAGTATTTTAATCTTGTGGAAAAGAAATAAAGGAAACTGTGGGCCAGGTGGGAAGGAAGGAGTCTATTCTTCCACGTCTAGCCAAAGACAAAAAGTCACCAAGGAAGTTTTATTTCTATTTAAATATCAGCCAGAGACGATGGCCTCCAAGCTTACAAAATATCAAACTGCCAAATTACAAGGATATTTAGTTAAAATCAGGAGAAAGGAGAACTCATTTAGGAGATATGGTCTCTTGGAGTTTGCAAAGTTAACCAATGGAACTTGAAGCTTCTGGGGGCTCTCTTCTATCCAGGAGCCTGGTGATCCTAAATCTTTCAGCTGTCAGAGTAATTACAGAGTCAAGCATAGGTTTGTACTCAGCATGTACTAGCCTCGAATAAAATTAAACTTCACCTCTTTGGGAACTGCTGCTTTTTTGGAAAGTACAAAACAATTATGCTCCGCCCGCAGCCAGAAGCTGCAGGTTATTTCTGCAGCTCACCTCTGGTACCTGGAACACATGGGGCAGGTTCAGACACATCCACAGCTCTGTACAATTGCTGAAGCAGATTGTGCCCTGTAAAATCCCAGCTCCTGGTCATAGGAGGCTAAGAACTTCCCATCAACCAGTTGTACACGTAGTATCATGTAGCCAATTCTCAATTCATTAGCTTATATGCTGAATGTTGCAACTGTTTCTGAAACACTGATTTAACTAGGTAACAAAGGGAATCTTAATTTTGTTTCTTTAGAAAAGGAAAAATAAAACTTTGGGTTTTGGTGTTATTTTCCATAGTACACAACATCCTAATAAGCTGGTATTCCCCATAAAAATGAACTGTGATGGTCTGGCTCACACTCCTGTTACCTGCTCACCTGCTAACCCATTTAATGCAATCATCTGCAAAGGGTTTCATCCTCATTAGCACAAATTAGTGACATTTATTTAAATGGATGAAAAATTCGTGAGTATTTCTATATACTGCTAGGCTACCAGCACCAAAAGAGGACTCGTCAAGGTGCCACTCACTGAAGAATTACTCAAAGACTACTGAATAAATATGGGATGATCAGTCAAACAGCAAGGCTTAACAGGCAACATAAACTATGGTGGTTCTCAGATGTTAACCAGACACCAAGTCACCTGGAGGGCTTCTTAAAACTAACTGTCAGTCCCACCCAAGATGGGTGGAGTCAGCGGGTCAAGGGGTAGGTTCAAGAATTTGCATTTTTAACATGTTGCCACGGGAACCACACCTTGAGAACAACTGGGAGATGCAAAAATAATGGAGACCCAGTCCTTGCTTTTAAAGAGTTGATGGATACTTAAAGAAAGACAATAAGCACATATACCAAGAAGGTCTGCTGCTGGGTGATGAAGAAAAAATGCTTCATGAGGATAAATGTCACACAGTTATAGGTAAATGTCAGAACCCAGATCTGCTGCCTCCCACAAGTGAACCAGTATGGAAAAAGTAAAATGTCTGATATTCAGACAAGAAAGAGGGTGGCAATGGGCTGGGGGGCAAAGTAATGCCATGGAAAGGGTGTGTGAAGAAAGTCTGGAGTCTTGGATTTAATCCCAGCTCTATCTCTAACTAGCTGTATGAATTTGGGCAAGGCACTTAATCTCTATAGGTCTCGATTTTTTAAAAATTTGCGATAGAAGTTATAAATTTCCTTTCAGTTCTAAAAATGATGGTGGCTACATGGAAGAGTAGGGATTTAAACTGATTAATGAAGGCTGTGTATAACTGAGAAGTATGTAAGAAAGACAGGAGTCATTCCTGGTGGAAGGAGGAGCATGAACAACAGATACAGAGGTCAAAATCATTCTGACCTTTGCAGAGCAGGGGGTAGGTAAAAAATGTCTGAAAAGTAATAAGACCAATGTTTTAAAAATGAGAAATGAAAAAGTCAGACTAGGCCCGGTATAAGGGGACTTTAAAAGTAAGCAGAAAAGGTGGGATCTGTTGGAGAGGTCATCAGCATCGTGTAGAAAGAGGTTCTTGAACAGGGAACGGCACACTGAAAGTGGGGTGTTAAATCTAGTGCAGGAGTAGTGCAGAATAAAAACGGCTAACAGTAATGTTCACATCTCCAGAGAGCAGAGGATATTAATGAGGGCTGTCCATTAGAATCATAGGTGGAACTTCTCTAAAATATACCAAAGACAGAGCCTGAGACAAAGGGTCTGGAAAACTGCTTTTGTTTTGTTTTTTAGATTTTATTTATTTATTTGAGGGAGAGAGAGTGTGTGTGAGAGAGTGTGCACAAAATGGGGGAGGGTCAGAGGGAGAAGCAGACTCCCTGCTCAGCGGGGAGCCTGCAGATGCAGGGCTCGATCCTGGGACTCCGGGATCATGACCTGAGCTGAAGTCAGCTCAACTTCACCGACTGAACCACCCAGGTGCCCCATGGAAATCTGTATTTTTTAGAGTTCCACTGGTGAAAGTCAGGATCTAGGTCCAGCACTCAGATTCAGTATGTTTATGATGGTGAAAATTATAACAAGCACTTTCCCAGATGATGAGAAAAAAGAGCAAGGCATTGTTTTTAAAAACATGCCTCTTGCTGGCCTTACCCTTAAGCAGGATTCTCATTAATGATCTGGGCAGCACAGGATTTTTCTAAGGGCACTTGCTTACTACTAAAATAAGCAAATAGAATTTTAATGTTTAGATAACCTGAAACCTTGAAAAACTGTTTTAGAGACAGCAACATAACTATTTATGCCCCGAGGATTACATGAACGCTGTGCCTAAGAGGCAAGAGTCACTAGCTTGCTAGACTATCAAGTGGGACTCTTTATTACTCTCATTAGCGTAATGTAATCCAAGCCAAATCCCCAAAGGTCTCAATTTCCCTTCCTGTTACCAGTTCAAAAAAAGACTGGCAAGTTTCAACACCTTTAGAAGGGCAGAGGAGGCCTGACATTCTGGTTTAATGAAGGATCCCTGCAGTAGTATCAAGTCTCAAGGAACTGAAAGAAATTGGTCTTGACTTCAGAGACAAAAGCTATTGGATTGTTTTGTATATTTTAAGGTTGGAGCTCTCACCTATGGCCACCCCACGAACAGCTCAGGTCCCTGTCATCTATCCCATCCCCTCAACTCTGTGTCTTACTTTCTTCCCCTCCACTCCTCACTCCCAAAATGTTTAAAGGCTTTGGAGAATAAAAATGTGTTGAATGTTGAGGAAAGAAGAAATTGAGAATTACATGGGGAAACAAGTCTAGTCCTAAAACCAAAGGACATCAAGACTCATGAGAGAAGGGCGCCTGGGTGGCTCAGTTGGTTAAGCGACTGCCTTCGGCTCAGGTCATGACCCTGGAGTCCCGGGATCGAGTCCCACATCAGGCTCCCTGCTCAGCAGGGAGTCTGCTTCTCCCTCTGACCCTCCTCCCTCTCGTGCTCTCTGTCTCTCATTCTCTCTCTCGCAAATAAATAAAATCTTAAAAAAAAAAAAAAAGACTCATGAGAGAAGATCAAAAGGAAGTTGCAAAGATGACAATGCATGAATTAACCAGACCTGATTTTTTTCCCCTAAAAGGTAGGGTGTGTGTGTGTGTGTGTGTGTGTGTGTGTGTGTGTGTGCAGGGAGTTGCAATCTACTGAACTATGCACTGAGTTTATACTCTGCCAGGCAAATGTGCCCATACCCACCGATGATAGTATCTGGACTAGCTGAATATGAGTATGTTCAGGTCATGCTATATAAGTCTGTGTTATAGGTTTCATGGGAACAAATGGTTAAATAAGTAGGATTGGGGAAGACTTAAATCGTCAGAAAGAAGGGTAATCATGGGGCATATGCTATCTTAGGCAGAACACTCTTCCTGAGCCCTGCCAAGACAGTGGGGGGCGGGGGGCGGTAAATCTGACCTGACGTACCTTAGACTTTCTGGATCTCTGTGACGCTCTGAAGCATAGCAAGGCCATGAATACTTAGAGAATCATTCTTGCTAAGAACAAATGCCTCCTTCTCACAGAAAAGCTGAGAATCCTTGCTTGCTGACCATTTCAGTAGCATATAAGCAGTCCCAAACTGCCTCCCATCACACCTTTGGTTAACACTACTCTTAAGAGAAGCTCTTGCCTCTCTTGTTCCTCATTTACTCTATAGGACCGCACTAATTGTTAAAAAGATAGTCAAAAGGGCTATACTAAGAAGAAAAGAGAATAAACAGTCCAACAGAAATATAATTATGAAAAAAGGATATAAATAGTAAGTTAAAAGAAATGAATACAAATAGCTAACAAACAAGTTGAAGCCAATATTCTTTCCCTGATTTTAAAATTCCAAAATAAAATAAAATACCGGTTTTCATTTAGCAGATTAACAAAACTTTAAGTTTGATAGTACCCAGTGTTGCTAGGGGAAACAGATACTCTCAAATCAGTGGGACAGGGTGCCTGGGTGGCTCAGTCGTTAAGCATCTGCCTTCGGCTCAGGTCATGATCCCAGAGTCCTGGGATCAAGTCCCACATCGGGCTCCCTGCTCAGCGGGAAGCCTGCTTCTCCCTCTCCCACTCCCCCTGTTTGTGTTCCTGCTCTCACTGTCTCTGTCAAATAAATAAATAAAATCTTAAAAAAAAAAAAAAAAATCAGTGGGGCAGCCTTTATGCAGAACAACTTTGCAATACCCACCAAAAATGTTAATGTGTATATCCTTCCATCTCTATCAGTTCTACTTCTAGGAATTTATCCTAGAGATAAACTAACAGAAGTGTGCAAGAGGGGCACTTGGGTGGCTCAGTCGTTAAGCGTCTGCCTTCGGCTCAGGTCATGATCCCGGGGTCCTGGGATCGAGCTCCGCATCAGGCTCCCTGCTCAGCCGGAAGCCTGCTTCTCCTTCTCCCACTCCCCCTGCTTGTGTTCCCTCTCTCTCTCCCTGTCAAATAAATTAAAAAAAAAAAAAAGAAGAAGAAGTGTGCAAGAAAAAAGTGTGTATATGAGAATATTCACTTCAGGACTGCTTGTAACAGTGGAAACTTGTTAAACAGCAGTGAATAAGTGTTATAAAAAGGGGAATGGTTAATTTTGGTATATGCATAAAACAGAATACTAGGCAGCTATTAGTTCAGTGAAAAAAACACCTTGCAAAATAAAATATTGTATAATTCTGTTTGTGAAAGACACACACACTCCTAGATACACAGAAAACTTCTGGAAGGATAGGTAAAATATTGTTAACAGTGGCAGACTCTGGCAAGCGGAACTAGAAGGAATCTGCTGAGGGGAGCTTTTACTTTCAGTTTTATACCTTCTGTACCACATGAGTTTATTTGTATTTACAAAATGTTTTTAGTATTTTCAGAGGTATTAAAGGCTACTTTCAAAGCCTCTTCTTTTTTTTTTTTTTTTTTTTTTTTTTTTTTTTAAGATTTTATTTATTTATTTGACAGAGAGAGAGAGAGAGGGAACACAAGCAGGGGGAACAGCAGAGGGAGAGGGAGAAGCAGGCTTCCCGCAGAGCAAGGAGCCTGATGCGGGGCTCGATCCCAGGACCCCGGGATCATGACCTGAGCCGAAGGCAGACGCTTAACCGACTGAGCCACCCAGGTGCCCCCAAAGCCTCTTCTTTTAAAACAAACAGGGGAAAAGCAAAGAAAGACGCAAGAGATCTTTCAGTAAAGATGCCCAAACTAGATCCCACAACAAAAGGGACAACATCTGTGCCAGTGAGCCAGCTTCAGCCAGGCCCAGAGCAAAGAGCAGGGTGAGCTACAGTCCCACAAAGCCAAACTGACCTTCAGCCTCTTCAACAGCCACTGCAGAAGACCCTGCTGGGCAGCCTCGGTACACATCTCAGGCCGGAACTCTGCCATGTTTTCCACAATAGCTAAAGGGAGACAGACAGCAGTCATGTGGGAGGGCAATTTTGTTTCCATCTGCAACAAGCTTGCTTCCCTTCCCATGACAGACACCATATTCGTCTTCTCACTTCCTGTATTCCTCTTAGCCAGATGCTGTGTTGTCATTATTAGATTAACCAGGGAGATGCTATGGTTTTTTTTTAATTCAAGTAATGTTGCAAGTAAAACTCCTAACTGAAAATGATGAAATTTACAAAAGGAATGTGATAGATGTTCTGTGCTAATAGGGAACAACACTAGAGCAGAATACAGAGAAAGGTGGATATCTGCCCAGGAAGGCCTTCTTAGTCCTCACTGCATGGGAGCCCCAGAGACCTGTAACTGAAGAGACAGGGGACTGACTAGGCAGGAAGCCTAGGGAAAAAAATCAGGGGATGGTGAATTCAGAGTCTCTTCCCTTCCTGACATTCACTTTCAATTCTCTTTCTCTGGATATTGCAAGGGAAGCAAGCATGATCTTCTTAATTGAACAAAAAAATGTGCAGAGAGGGGAAAGGCCATGCTGGCAGAGGTAACTGTCAGGTACTCAGAAGCAAATATAATTGGTCCTGCTATCTCCTACAAGGGCCAAATTGCTGCTAAACAGAAAAATTAAAACTTAGGAGGCCAAAGGAAAAAAAAGTTATTACATAACCATGATACTAAAAAGGGGGACATTTTTTAAAAATCCCCTATATAGTTCCATTCTAACACATCCAGTGCTTTCATTTCCTTCAGGGCCCCTTCCGCTCCATATCCCAGGATACGTGACTATTATAAAGGGGATAGAGTTAGGTCCACGTTCTCTAAGCCCAATGCCCAGAACACATCAGATCTGAATTCTGAAGGAGAAAGGGATAAAGAAATCCCCATGCCTCTTACGCTCATCCTCACTCCTCTGCCGCTGTCAGCCAGTGGGAAGTTAAAGACTCAGGGGGCAGCCCCCTCAGGGAGTGGAATACAAAGCCATGTTAGCAGAGTAGCAACGAGACCCCTAAGTTACTTTCTCACACTTTCTAGGAAAATCAACTCATGCATTTTAATCTCCAATGCCCTTATCTTACTCCTCTGCTTATACTTTAGATGGCTTCCCGTTGCTCACTAGAGCCAAATCCAATCATCTTGCCTCGGTTTACAAGGTCTTCCACCATCTGGGCAAACTCATGCCTCTGGTCCCGTCTCCCGTTACCACTACCTCCCACTGCCACAGTACAGCTCTACACTTTCCCCAATCCCACGCCCACTCACAGCTTTACAACTCTGACTCTCTCCTACCCAAGGGTCCTTCTCACATTTCTCTGTCAAAACGCACCTGTCTTCATATTCAGCCCCAATCAGCTACCTTTGGAGACCCTTCCTCACTTCCACACTGCTCTCCACTGACTCCTATTATACCATTTGTCTCCCTGTATTATCTTTCCTTTCCGTTCAAGGCTTTCCCATCAGTCTGCTTCTTAGGGAGTTAAGACCATGCCCAATTCATCTTTAATCTACCCAGTGCCCAGCACAGTGCCTCACAAACTGCAGGTGCTCAATAAATGAGAGAGGGATGAACCTCCTGAGCTGCTGGTAGGCGACCGTGCTGAAACTAGACAGATCTCTACAGACAGCCAGCCTGGTGCTTTTTTCATTATACCAGGCCCTTTTTATTAACAGTCAGTTAAGACTTTTGATAAGCTTTCTATTCAGCAAAATCCAGCATTAGGCTAACAGATGGTAATGCCAAATTCTAGCTCTAGACTAAAGCCAACCCCCAAGTTACAGATTGTTGTGTTCTCTCTTCTCTTACTCCCTCGGTGCTATGTCTTCCCTCTTGTTTATGATAATGCTCACAGAAGAGAGTATAAAACTATAAGAGAAATCTGTGGTAGACAAAAAGACTTGAGAGAAAAATCTAATCTCATCAAAATTTCTGCTTCAGCTGGGCCTCATTCATTTCTCAAGCTCTGCTTAAGATATGTCACCTTTGGTTTTTTTATAAGACAATGACCAGTGATAAAGGAGAACTACCCAAAACCACAATTTTAAATAGGTTCGACAACTTTGCCAGGAGAAAGACCTGGGAGATTCAAGGAGGAGGAAGGGAAATACTACAAAAGACACCCACTTAAATTAACATGTGATGAAAGTGCATCCAAGTTAACAGCAATATTTCAACTAAGTTTACATGGCAAACTACACTTAAGAAGATAAACACTTAACTCTTTTGCAAATAAGCTGTCTTATAAAGGTACTCCATTGTTCCAAAGTTTGTAGTCCCACTGAAGGAAAGTAGGAAGAAAAACCAATATGGGGGAGTAAAAATTGTAAAATACACACTTTCTAAAGCTAAAAAAAAAAAAAAAATTCACCCTGCATAGACATGACCCTAACATTTGAAGGCAAAGTTCTGCTAAAAGGAGCCAGTTTTTGTCCAGGAAGTTACCCTACTTAGTGGATTTCTGCTTTTATTACTTGCCAAGCCAAACCAAAGCTGCAGTTATATGAAATTTACACAAGGGTCCTCATTTCTGGAGCGGCAGTCTGGGAGTAGAAGGAAAGAAAACACCGCTGCTGTTGACTCTATTATGAAGGAAGAAAGAAATGAGCACCAAGCCCAAAACAAACACAAAGGTCTCTGATCACTGGTCGTCCTGCCCCTCACCTAGAGTGTTGTGGACACCATCCGCCTCTTCCTTCACGGACTCATCCAGGCGCTCCAGATTCTGCACAAGCAGGGCCACCACCTGCCCATCCACCTTCAGCAACAGGGAAGCAAAAGGAGAGAGGGATACATGTCACAAAACAGTCCCAAAATGAGGGCGCCTGGGTAGCTCAGTCGGTTGGGCGACTGCCTTCAGCTCAGGTCATGATCCTGGAGTCCCGGGATCGAGTCCCGCAGCAGGCTCCCTGCTCAGCAGGGAGTCTGCTTCTCCCTCTGATCCTCCCCCTCTCATGCTCTCTGTCTCTCATTCTCTCTCTCTCAAATAAATAAATAAAATCTTTAAAAAAAAAAAAACAGTCCCCAAATGGTCCCATTCCCATACTTTCTTCTCACCTGCATGAACAAAAGAACTGATCGACCACCCATAGTTTACGGAGTGCTGCTCTCCCATCCCATTACCTCTTTGACTCTTGAAGTGACCCCAAGGCAAAGAAAGGGCAGGTTTCATTATCCCTAACTTAAGATGAGTAAATCTAAGCTTTCGGAGACAAAGTAAAATGCAAGGTTACAAAGTTAGTGAGTACCAGCGCTAGCACTTGAACCTAGGTCTTCTGAAATCAAGTTCAGTGTACTTCCCTACGTAATTGAAACAAACACCTTGCAAAAGCACCATCTTAAGTCAGGTCAATAGTTTGCTCAAGTCCAAAGCGTGTTTCTAGACCACAGCACCAAGAGATGTTTAGTTGGGAAGTTTATTTGCCATACTTTACACTGACCTCAAAATTTAGGGTTATACTCAAAACATTCCTAACGTTCTACGCTAAGCTTTTATGAAACTATTACTTCTGATGAATTTCTAATTCCTTCTTGAGAACAGTATTAACATAATAAAATGCCTGGCATTTGTATTACATTTAATGCATAGAACAGCAATTAAATTTCTCTAATTTGATTCATACAACCTTATAGGAAACTGTCAGTAGTCCTGTCATAGAGAGCTGATATTCAGAGATGAACAGCTTAGCCAAGACCAAATGGCTACTGGGCAGTAGCAGGAAAAGCAAAAACCAAGCTTCCTTCTTTGGTGAAATAATGGTTATACTACTGCATGCTTCCCTCTGCACACAATCTGTACCCTTAGGGAGACTGCCCTCTGGGTAACCCTGATACAAACCCTGGACGGTAACTAAGGAAACACTGCATAATCAAGAAGTGATTATCCGTCTGGGAACAACTTTCTCATCAGTAGCCAGTCAGAAACCTGTAGGGGAAGATGAAACCTGCCGTGCATCTGTGGTATATCCTCTCTGACTGCCTCACTTAGGAAATGGAAGTAAGTTATCACGATTAAATAAAATTATGTGGCATGCCTTACCCTGGGTCTAGATCAAAAATTAAGTAGAGAGTTTGAATCTAGCTCTTGACCCCTTCTGACATCTGATCATTCACTATTCGTATCTCCCACAGACCAAGAAAAACTCCAGTCCTTTGAAGGCAGTCACCAAACCCTTGTTCGTCCTGGCATATTCTTCCAGGGGTAGTGCAATGCTATGGTACATGACAGACAGTCACTTTGCTAAATTCAAATAAACCAACAAAACACTTACTTTGTGTACTGCAATCAGGTCTTTTATATAAACTGTTCTGTTTACTCTCGTGCAATCCTCATAGCTTTTACAGTGAGCAAACAAAGATCCAGAGAGGTTAACTAGCCTGGCCAAAGTCACAAAGGTTGTGGCAGAAGTGACTGACTCTAAGCATCTATTTTTTCCAATCATACCCTGTCACTTTGGGGAGGGGAAAAGAGAGAGAAGGAAACGTCTCATTTGACTGACACTGCCTAAACACTTGTGTATAAGATACCCAATGATACAATTGCAAACTGAGCCGGAGGATGGAACAATGGCGAGAGGGACAGATCTTAAAATAAGGCCTCTTTACTTTTTCTCGGTGACACTTAAAGGAAGTATCTGGCAAGGGAGAAAAGCTGAAATCATTGACTAATTTGCAAACCTGAATCATAAATGAGGTAGAATTTTCTAGGCTTTGCCCTTTATGGTGTGAAGAACAATGTAGGACACCAGCTGCAGATTTGAGGTGATACTGATGCCAGAATTGAGGGTGCCTGTAAATACGAGAATGAGCTGTTTTCCCCTCTTATCCCAAGGAGAGATACAATCTCACTCTCAAATCTCGCAGCCAGCAAAAGCTTCACCAAAGAAATCCACTGCAATGTTTTCCTTA